TGAGACGGAGCGGAGGGGAAAAAAGGACCTAGAAGGGAGCAAGAAGAGCAGGTGGCGATGAAGGGTTGGGGAGGGAGGAGGCGGAGGAGGACGTTCTGGGGTGCAGAAGCGGGCTGGGGTGGCGAGGAACGAGGGGCAGGCCAGGAGTCCTGCCAGGGGCAGGAAGGGCGCGGGAGGGGTGTGTGGGGGGGAGTGTCACTGGTTGGGAAGGGGACAGAGGCAGCCCTAGTGCGTTTTCTAACTTACTGGAGGTGGAGCGTTGATGTTTTGGTTTTTTGTTTGTTTTTTCTAGGCTTTATTTTGCTTGTCTGTCGCAGATGCCTATGGGGGAGATGGTAAAGGAGGAAGCGGGCTCAGGCCCCTCAAAGCCCGTAGATCACAAGTGTCCCCGGCAACGGGAGCCACCGGCGTACGTGAAGAAAAAGAAGCAGCTCGTCTGCGACGGATTCTCTGTTAAAGCCATGATGAAAAATACTGTGGTATGTTTGCTGGTAGTTCCGAGGTGATGTTAATTAATTTACTCTCATTTGACCAGGAAAGCACAGCGAGTTTGAGCTGGGGACAAAGCATGTCAGGGAGGTCTGTGAGTTGCTAAAACTTTATCTGGAGTTTGCTGGTCGCTCAAATTACCTTTAGGCTTGACCGAAGTATTATCATAAGGTAATTGTCTGTGCCTGTGGAAACTGTTCCATCTCCAAGGGTATTGCTTTGGTGCCACTGTTTTTCTGTATTGTTTTGTATTGACAATGGATGTTCTATTAAACTGTCAGCCTATAGAATTGCATCCAAGGCTCACTACCTCACATTTAGTAAAATGTTGTCAAATGATACCGTAGTATTTGAAAGTGTTCTCATAGACTGGCACATTGTGGTATAAATTTGACGTGAATGTCACATAGGATGGCAAAGATCTGGAAAATACACTCATTTTTACAATAAACTTGAAAAATAATAAGAAGCTTCCACATGGCATGGGAGAATACCAAACTGGAAACAAATGTTAGTTCTCCGTCGTGCTTCACAAAGAGGAGTTGATCCAGCAGGCATCACTTTCAGTGATAGTCCCAATTTCTAATGTATTTAGAGGTAGGTGGGTGAAAATACTAGGATAAAGGCTTTCGAATTGCTTTATATTGTTTTATTTTTCTACTTTAGGAGTAAAAAAACTTAGCTAATACAGAATGCAAATATTCAACATGTAAGTGAATGAGCTAATATGAGGACACATCTGTGCTTAAACTCCTGAACTGTATTTTAATTTAGTAGGGCACGATTCAAGGTGTTAGCAAAGTCTTGTGTTCTCATGGTTGTTTTTTTTCCTATATATTCTTTTGACAACAGTTAAGAAATACATTATTATTTCCCATGTTTTGCTGAAGCAGTCTTCCTGAAGCAGTCTCTCTAGCCTTGTTGTCTGTAACAGAATCTTCTTAAAAAGCCAAAGAACTCCATCTTTATACAAATTTAAATTGGTGTAGAAATTGCGTACGTTAAAAACTTTTTCTTTATTAGTAAAACTAAAACAAGTTCCACCTTAATGAGAAGAATACAAGGCAAAAACAACTGAAAACCCTCTTTGTTTTAAAGTTTGTATGGTTTGTTTTTAATTCTAGGGGTGTGTGAAATAGACTATAATACTTCAGTGTGTTTATGGACTAATTTTTAAAAGATGTTTCCTCTTCTCTGGACCAAATTCAAGTCTTGTATATTTGCGCATATTTATTTACGCCTTGATATATAAAAGATGCTTGATTTTGACTAGAAGAATCAGCAGTTTCAGTGGAGTTTGAGAAATACGTATTTAATTTTTAAAAGGGAGCTTTGACTTGCTAACATAACTAGCTATGAGTTTAATCAGAATTTTTCTTTTAAGTATTTATAGAGTTTTAACTTTTATGGCTGCAATTCTAGCTTTCTAAACATTAACAGAATGTTAAATCGTGTGGTACTGAGCGAGAGCAAACAGGTAAATCTGCTGCCTTTGGAGCTATGCATTTTATCGAGGAAATTATGGTTTTATGGCATGGACATCTGGAGATCATCTAACCCAGCTTCCCATTTGAAGTGGGCCTGTCACTAGCACAAGATCAGGTCAATCATGGTCTTCTCTCACTAAGCTTTGAAGTCCTTCAATTTCATCAGAGATTTCTTGACCTTTTTGGGCAACCTGTTTCATTGCTGCCTCGCTCCTCTTCCTGCCCCCCTGCCTGCCCCCTGGGCTCTCTGTTAGAGGTTGAGTTAACGCTGTTCTGACCTGTTCCACAGGTTCTGCTCATGACTGGGTAGGGAGCAGTGAAACTGTTAGAGGTGCTGGAAGATTCATAGTACGTGGACTATATTTTGCAACAGCTTCAAGTGAAGACAGGCAGTCACTGGAATAATTTCCCAGTGGTCAGTGTGCCAAAACTCAGGAGAGAGTAAGGAATATCTCACAGCCACTCTGAGCAGAAGTAGGTGTTTCTTTTCTGCTCCAACTGGTTCAGTGGAGCTTCAGATTAAGTACTCACTTGTCAGGTTGGCATCATCGATGAAGTTCTCATGGAAGGCTTAGGAGTTGACTGGGAGGTTTAAAGCACAGCAGGCAAGTATAGTTAACACATGGTAATTCTTTGTTAACAGCATGACAAGGCACAAGGTTGTCAGCAATGTGTTCAGCATCTCCAGGTCAAACAGCTAGGTACAGATTAATAGCCTTTGATGCAAGCATGCGGCGAGTCTTAAACTCTTAGCATCTTAGCACAGAGTCTAACAGATTACCATTATGCATATATGACTAAATATTGTATTAAAGATTCCAGAATTCTTTCATGTTGCTTCTGCAAAGAGTGTTTTACTAAGCCATTTTTCATGAAAGCTGCTGGATAAATTTTTCTTTGCAAGTCTGCTTTCATAGCCAGTAGTAAGTACAGTAAATAAGTACATACAATATTCAAGACTACTCAGCTCTGTCTAAATCTAAAATATACTTATTGAAATATATTAATAAATATTCACCAAGAAAATTGTTCCTGAACTGAAGAAAGTTTTTTGGTTTGTGGTATTCCAAAACTAAATTCATATGGAAGTTTAGATTAAGAGTAAGATCCAATAAAGTTCTTTTATAGGCTGGATTGATGGGCCCAGGTCAATTGTATGAGGTTTAACAGGGTCAAGTGCCAGCTTCTGCACTCAGGTCACAGCAGCCCCATGCAACACTAGAGCCTTGGGGAAGAGTAGACAGAGAGCTATCTGGAGGAAAATGACCTGGGGGCACTGATCAACAGCCAGCTGAACATAAGCCAGCAGTGTGCCCAGGTGGCCAAGAAGACCAACAGCATCCTGGCTTGTATCAGAAATAGTGTGGGCAGCAGGACTACAGAAGTGATTGTCCCTCTGTTCACAGCACTGGTGAGGCCACACCACAAATACTTTGTTCAGTTTTGGGCCTTTCGCTACAAGAAAGACTGAGGTGCTGAACCATGGCCAAAGAAGGCCAGCAAAGCTGGTGAAGGATCTGGAGAGCAAGTCTTATAAGGAGCAGTTGATTGATCTGGGGTTGTTTAGTCTGGAGAAGACTAAGGGGAGATCGTATAGCTCTCTACAACTACCTGAAAGGAGGTTGTAGTGATATGGGTGCTGGTCTCTTCTTCAAGTAACAAGCAATAGGACAAGAGGAAATGGCCTCAAGTTGTGTCAGGGGAGGGTTAGATTGGATATCAGGAAAAATTTCTTTATTAAAGTAGTGGTCCAGTGTTGGAGCAGGCTGCCCAGAGAAGTGGTGGAGTCACCATCCCTGGTGATGTTCAAAAAACATGTAGACATGACACTGTGGGACATGGTTTAGTGGGCATGCTTGTGTTGTGTTGATGGTTGAACTTGATGATCTTAGAGGTCTTTTCCAACCTTTATGATTCTATGATTCTACATTAACAAGCTAAATGCTGTGACATTTACATTTTAATTGATTTTTCCTCTGACTGAAATCAAGAATGCTCTGTTATGTGCTCATACTTCACATGTACTACATGGGTAGAATTAGGAATATAATTAAAAATTAATATACAGACTAGCAAGTTGAAAAGTGTCTGTACCTGAATGTGGACAGCAGGAAGATACCTCTGTCCACTTCTAATTCTTTCCCAATGGTTATTTTTCCTATTTTCTGCAACTATACTTGAGAGAATAAAGTGTTAATGTGCACTTTTTCTGTAATAGACTAGTGGTAAAAACACTTTTTCAAGGACAGGATTCATTTTAACATTTCAAAAGAACTGTAGAAAGGGAATTTCAATCTATCTCCTAACTGTTAAAAGATTCTTAACCAAAAAGTTACAAGATTGCTGAGGTGAAAACGATCACAGAGGGGGACATCTCCACATGTCATTTCAAAATGCTGTTACTGTGCTGTAGAGAGTTAGGATTCATAGAGCTAGAAGGTGGCAAGGTAGGAAACTCACTAGACAACATATTTTATTGCATACATCATTCATGCAAGAGTTTTGAAAGCTTTGAGTTTTGGTATTCTATGTCCATCTTTGCTTGCTAGAATGTATCTAATGTTTTTGGAGTAGAATTGGAACTTAAGACATCCCCTCTTGAGTGCTGAGGCGATGAAACTGTGAAAGGATGTTATCTTTTTTTTCCTGTTTTCCCTGAACCTTGTATTCCTTACTACAAAATGGCAGCACTTCTGGAGGAAAGGAGGAGTTTATCTTTCTTCTACAGTTTCTTTCACAGTAACACTATTGCCAGGCAAGTTGAAGTATCCTTCTGCAGCATACTAATTTGAACTCCTTGGGCCAGAGTACTGAATTTGGAATTTCTTCCTGGCTCAGTTTGTAAACCAGTAGATTTTATATGGAAAATATCACTATTACATCCACCTGTGTTTCATGGAAGCAGTCAGAAACTGCTGCTAGTAATGGGCCACATCCAGCCTGTGTGTAAATGATAAAGTGAGAATGTCTACTAGATGACCTTAGAAGGGGAGTGATGATAAGAATTGTTTTTTTCCTGAATTTCAAAAACCAAAGCTGAGCTATTCAACCTGGGAGAGTCTTAGCTATGTGCAGAAGCACTGCTTGCATTTCCTAAAAGAAATGCAATGGTTTGTAAGCAGAAAAAAAGGTTATAGAAGTTGCAGCTGTATCCTTCTGCTCCTCGTATAGGAGTTTACTGTCTTTATGTATTGGAATGAGTTCTCCATCTTTGTTCTTTAAATCATTCTTTCAAGCCATTATCAGTAATGTGTGTTGTGAAGGACTTTCTTACCCTTTACCCTCTGATAATAACTCATAGCAGGGTTTTAATTTTGACCATAGAGATAATACGATTTGTTTACACTCAGAAACTTGTGATTTCATATTCTATTTATATTCATCCGTATTGTGTAACTAAAACTACTTTTGTTATTTACTTTGTAGCAGAAACAGTTTCTGATCTGATTTTAAGGCTATAGAAATGCACTGTTTACAAGAAAAAAGTTTTACCTTTCTATTAT